TCTGGGCGCTTCCACTGGAACCCATCAACAGGGGATACTGTTACCCCTTCCCAGTTCACAGAAGAAGAAACAGAGGCCCAAAGAAGAAAAGCAGAGTGGTTTGGCTAGAGCAGCAAAAGGAGTGAGGGGAAGGCTCCTCAGCTCCTTCCTCTTTGGCCAGAGCTCTACCCCAACTTGAGAAATTTTCCCCAGGTCTCCTGAGCTCCCCTCACCCAATCTAGAGCCCCCAGGGTGAGATGGGGGGTCAGCAAGGCACTGGGCTCAGATAATCTGTCTCCCCAAAATGGAATTCTGCCCAGGATACTGGTGGGAAAGTGCTCCCCAGGGCCTGAGGCTTGGTTTAAGGGGGATTTTGGAGCAGCCTGGATAGAATCCAGGCTTGCTAAGGGACAGGGACAGAGAGTTCAAGGGGAGAAGCTCCCTGCACTCAGCAGGTGGGTGGGTCTCATTCACTGGCTCCTCCCAGGCACCAGTTGAGCTGTTGGAAGTCCTGCTAAGTCCTACCTCCCATCCTGGCTGCCTGCAGAGGCACCCCCACCCCGGAATCTTTTCTTCTCAGAAGTGGAGAAACTCAGGCTCTGGCTGTTGTACGAACCCATCTCATTACTGCCCAGTGTCTACTCTAGGGCTCCCTGTCACACCATGTTTCCAGTGACCCCTTCCTCTGGCTTTGGTCATTCTTGTCAGCTCTAGAATCTCCCGCAGGATCTCTTTCCCAACTCCCTAAGGTAACTGAATGTACTGTCTTAGTTACTCTGCTTGTTGCTGAGACAAAATACCTGACATCCAAAGTTAAGGGAGGAAAAGTTTATTTGGCTCACGGTCTGTAGAGGTTTCAGTTCATAGTCATCTGGCTCCAAGGCAGAGTGGCATGGCAGAGGGATTGCAGAGGAGAAATGATTCATGGTGGGCAGAAGGTAGCAAAGAAACCAAGGGACAAGACAAGCCTCTTTCTGCCCCTTATATTGTATCCAAAATACTGGGATTAGGGCTGTACCAAACCAATCAGTGGATTGATTTAGTAATCACACACCCTTAACCCCAGTATCACACACTCTAGATTCAGCTACCTCTGAAAAAGCCCCACCTATGACCACATGAGGCTTTAGGGGAACAGCTAGACCCAAACCATACCATACCACAAATGAAAGTCGGGAGGCAGCAGAAGAGGGCCTTGGGCAGGGCCAGGTGAAGGGTGTGTCCACCGGGAGCCTCTCTTCTCTTCCCCCTCCCCACCCCCCAGCATAATACTATACATTTGGGAACCTGTGGTCAAGTTTGGGGCAGGTGACCCGACCTGGCAGCCTGTAGCCTGAGGAAAACATCACAAGGAGGATCAAACATTAACCTGGCCGCCAGGACCCTTGGGTAGGGCGGTGGGCAAGCACCTCCCCCAGCCCGCACCTCCCCCAGCCCCCGGGGCCAGGCCTCCCCTTGGGCCTCTACCCGGTGCCCTCCCGCACCTGTTCGGCCCCGCCCGCCTGGGCTCCATTGGGCAGCCAAGAAAAAAGTTGCCAACAGTACTGCTCCTGGCACGCAGGCTGTGGAGCCCCGGGATTCAAGGCCCTTTTACTCCTCTCTAGCAGATCTACTCCTGGCGGGGGAGAAGCGCTTTCCTGCTCCTTCTCGGAAACCCAGGCTTTGCCCCTCCAGCCCCCGCCTTCCCAGGCTTTGCACACGCAGTGAGTCCCGGGACTCCTAAAGTCCTTTCTCAGGTTCAAGTCTCTCTGTCCACTTTTCTAAGGCCCCGCAAAGGCTACACAGCGTTGAACACTACCAGTATAGAGGCAAGTGCACGGTTCCCGGGCACCCTGGCCGTGCACACGCCCACCCCGAGGTGCCCGGCAAGAGTCCCCGAGCTCCAACCCTGTGTCCGGCACCAGCGCGCCTCCCTCGGGTCCCTGCATCCCGCACGTGCCCCTGGGCGCCCTGGCTCGCCCGAGCTGTGCCTCCCGGGGGCGTATTCTCCAGCCTCACCGTGTGCTTCTTAGCCACCATCTTTTCCAGCTTTTTGGTGATCTTCAGCAGCTCCTCTTTTTGGCCCATGTTTGCCCGTGACGCCCGACGCCCGGCAGGGCGAGGGGCATAGGGCAGCAGCGGGGCCTCGGTGCAGCAGACGCCAAGGTGGAGGGCGCGCAACCTGCGCGAGCCCCAGACACACGAGAGACACACACAGATACACACACGCCCGGCGGGGCGGGGCTCTCCCCTTCCCCCTGCCGCCTTTCAACCTCGGGGCTGGGAGGGGTGGCGAGTACTAAATATAGACTTCAAGGACTTGGCCAGGCAAAGATTGCCCGTGCAGGCCGCCTGTCCGGCCTCTGTGGAGAGGGCTGAGGCCTTCACCTCCGACAATTCCAGAGGTGTCAGGAACTGGAGGGAGATTTGGGCACGGGTTGGGGGGCTCTCAGGCCAGTGAGGAGGCCATTGTCTCCTGCCACAGATGGCAGTCCTGGCCCAGAGGGCGTCTGAGGGGGTTCCAGGAGCTGCAGGAAGAGTTCTGGGCTCCAGTGTTGCAGCTGGGAACGGGAGGCACCGCTGCGTGCCTGTGCCCAAGTGGAGACGACTTGGTGCACTGGAGTCACGCTGGGTGCTAATCGTTCAGTCCAGCTCTGTGCTAAGTTAGGCTCACTCCTTCGGCCATGCGTATGCAAGCAGCTGTTCTGGTCTGTATGCTTGTTATAGTGAGGTTTCGCATTTCTAACTGCGGGGGTGCCATCGGTCCCAGGGCTATACCTCTGAGTGGAGAAGGGCTTGGACTCTTAAGGGCACTTAGGTGAGAAATACTTAGGAGGTGTACATAGGTACCCCATATTTACTCAAGGTCAGGCTGGTGCTCCTCAGTAGTGTTGGGTTTGGAAGGGTAATTTTGGGTGGAGGAGAGGAAAAAATAAAACCTGTGCTGCCTCTTCCAGCTGGGCACTCCCCTTACTTCCTGTGGAAGAGCCTTCTAAGAGCTCCAGTATCCCTGGATCCCTTCCTTAACAAGTGAGTTTAATGGGCAGTGACCTTCCTGGGAGAGGGCCCAGGGTCCCAGAGGGGAGGCAGGAAAAGTGGTCCACATAGTCTGCAGGCTAGAGAGCTGTGTTGTGGGGTGTCTGGTTAAAATTCCTTCCTCAGAGAACCCTATCCCAGTCTGGGTCACAGGGACAATCTGGTGTGGACTTCTCTTTTTCCACTGCTCCTATGTGACTGGGGTCGATGTAGGACAAGGGTGGTTTTTTAAAATTCAATCAACATGTGAGCAAGACAGACCTAGTCCCAACAAACTGGGCAAGGGAAACCTTAAACAACAGGGACAGCATTGAACTCGGGGTAGGGGGACACAGTTGAGGGGACCTGCACAGTTGGGGATGATGCCCTCTGAAGAAAGGACATTTATTGGGCTTACATGCAAAGTGAGAGTTTGGAGAAAAGGAAGGGCTTGTAAGAGGGGGAGAAACATTCATTCATTTGACATACATTTATTGAGAACCTACTGCATGCCAATTCTAGTCCTGGGTATCCAGAGAGGTACAGAACAGTGGCTCAGTGATAGAGCACTTGCCTAGCATGCTGTCTTCCACCTATCCAGTCCCCACCCTGAGCTGTGTGACATCAAAAGCAGCCCAGACTCCTCCATCATTGGAGCTTGAAGGACCTAAGAAAACATCAGGTCTTACCCTTTCATTGTACAAATGGGAAGACTGAAGACCAAAGAGGGTGTGAACCCCTCAGGGATGCAATTCTGGACTTTGAGACACTGTAGGTACCCACTATATTCTCCCTGCCTACCTGCCCATCTCAGAGGTCACCTGCAAACAACTCCTGGACACACCTCTGACAGTTTCCCACAGCTCTTTAAGAGCTTGAGAGCAGGTGAAAATTAATGCCCAAAAAGGACCCCCTCCAACCAACAAGAGATCAGAGTTAGGGGTCCTCTCAGTGGGACAATATGGAAATTAAGGTACCCAATGAGCTCAAGCCCTGTTGCCTGCAATGGTCACCCCACATACCCTTTATTGCTTTTTTGCCTTGTGCTTCACTTCTCTGTACCCTCACTATACTTCCTGGGATCCATCCACAAATAAACTACTCACCCTCAATCAAATCCTTATCTTAGGGGCAATCAACAGGGACCGTGGCAGGGACCATGGCCAAGCCAAACACGTCAGATCTCCAAGCATCTAGTCCAATGTTCTTTCCTCCTCGACCTCAGCACTATTAACATTTTGAACTGGATAATTCGTTGTTGTGGGGCTGACCTGTTGCTGTGGCTTGGGCATGGTAATGTGTCCCCCAAGGCTTCATGTGCTGGAAGCTTGGTTCCCAGTGTTGAGAGGTGGTGGAAACTTTAAGGGGGGAACTCAGTGAAAGTAAGCACCACCTTGGAAGAGACTAATACAGGTCTCCCCAAGTGTGTCACTTCTGGCAAGAATGGGTTGTTATAGAGCAAGCTCCCCTTGCTCCTTCTGCACTCAGCTGATTCTCTGTTTATCATGCTGTGATAGAGCCGGGGGGGGGGGCGGCAAGGCCAGGATGCCAGGGCCATGTTGTTTGGACCATCCAACAGCGTGAGGAGGGCAGGACAGCAGAGTTGTCAGCCAAATAAACCTCTTTACTTTATTTTTTGGTACTGGGGATCGAACTCTGGTCCTTGCCACTTGCAGGGCAGGCAGTGGAACCACTGAGCTATATCCCTGGCCCCAACCTCTTTACTTTAGAAGGCACCAGCTTGGCTATTTTGTTGTAGTAACACAACAGACTAAGACGTGGTGTTGTGTAGGATGGTTAGCAGCCTTGCTGGCCTTTCTCCACTAGATGCCAGTAGCAGCCTCCAGTTGGGAACTACTTTCCGCTGTGCCAAATGTTTCCTAGGGCAAAACTGTCCCTGGTTGTACCACAACCACTGCTTCACACCAGATTGTCTCTCTTGCCAGGTTCAGAGAAAGAATTCCAAGCCCCAAGATTCCTTCCCTTTCCCCCGTACTCTTCAGATCCCGTAGATGAAGCCAATGGAATTTACTTCCAGAAATCCTTTATTACAGATGAGTGAAATAACAAACTTGAGATGAACAAAACCAGATGCTGGAGGCTCAGAAGGCAATCCTGTTTCTGAGTGACCACAGACCAGTGAGGCTCCAGGGTGAGCAGTCCCCCGCCTCCTGGCCATACTGCTGCACTGGCCTAGCCCAGCACCCAGCAGCTGCAGAGTAGGGAGGTTAGTGGTTGGTGATGGGTACGGAGTGCCTGCTTCTTAACTGAGGCTGAGCTCTGGGGGAATTCCTTGGCCCGGGGAAGCAGAACCTTGAAGTCTTTGCTCTGTCACTCTCCTTTCTCAGCCCCTCACTCCCCCAGACTGGTAGGCCCCTGAATTGACCAAGAGAAAGAGAACAGAAGTGGGGATCTATGACCCAGATCATTCCTATTGTTCCTGCTACATCAAGGAGATAGGGAAACGGGGTGAGTCATACTGTACTTCTTGGCTGGGGAAAATAGTCCAGATCCCAGTGAGGGCTGTGCTACCCTGCAGATGACAGGGATTCCGAACGTTTCTTTAATATCCAGTACAGCATAGGCATTGGCCAACTGGAACAAAAGTAGGCTGCAGACAATTAATGGTCAGACAGGAACCAGCTGATTACGGGTCCTGGCCCTGAGCCCAGAACCATTCTCCGGAGCCCAGAACCATTCTCCGGAATATAATCCTGCATGTTCTTATGCCAGGCCTTGAAACCAGCTTCCCAGCCAGGGACCACATCTGCAGGACCCTTGCCTTATGTACATGGCATCCACAGTGCCTATGCAGGCCTGGACAGAGAGCTAGAATTCCGTAAAGGACTACTAGGCTAAGAAGAGGCTGAGAAGATAGTTTGAGGTCTGGAAGAGAATGATGCGGGAGTGCGTGTCCTAGTGGAGCCCCAGACTGAAGGGAGAAACAGTTCTGGTCTGATGAGAGACTGAGGGTTCTAGATCCAGGAACAAGGCTGCCTGGCCTGGGAGGTTTGGGGGGGATAAGATAGCGAAGAACCACCATCCACCCCAGTGTGGAGGCCCAGTGTCCTTGGAGTGGCACGGTCCACAGCAGGAATAAGACCATGAGGAACAGAGAGAGCAAGACCCAAGGGCGTGGATGCCTCAGCTCCCACTTCTGTGGGCTCAGGTCCCAGCTCTGCATGTTGGGGTCCAGCATGGGCCATGCAGGGGTCAGCAAAGAGATACAGAAAAGTTACAAAGAATTTGCTGGAAGAACACCAGTTTTTGACCTGTCTCCTTCAGTGAAGCCAACCTGGGGGAGACAAGGATGAAACCAACATTTTCTAAGCACCTATTGTGTACCAGGTGTTTATCTCAGTCAATTTCATGTCTGTCCCACCATGGGGCAGATTAAATTATTCCTGTTCTACAGATGACAAAACTGAGGCTTAAAGAAGCAAAGCCACTTAAGCAAGTTTTCCTCACTCTTAAAGTCTGAGCTCTTACTATCACACCTGCCACAAGCAGTATCAGCTAAATGCCTGGTGATGCATACGTGGTTTTTGGGGTGACCGTGGAAGAAGGATGTGGACATAGATGTGTACCTGGTGTTTGACTTTGATAGACTGAAGATGACTCCCCAGAGAGATCTGGCTCCTGCCCCTGCCCTCCCCCACTCCCATCACAGATAACCAATGCCATCCCTGAGGAACGCCCAGGGCATCAGGGACAGAGAAGGCCGCCCTCCCACAGCATGGGCCTGGCCATGACCCCTCACAGGTATTTACACGTGTAACTGTTGGAGACTGTGATTCAGTAGGAAGGAGCAAAATTAGGGAGGTAGCTCTTGCCCTGTCCCTATCACATCCCTCTATGCCTGGATCTGGAAGTCCCTGTGGATTCTAGGAGCCTCCTGGACAAGAGAAGAGTGAGGCACACGACCAGCCTAATCCTGCCTCTTTCACAGGGAAGCAATGCTTTGTCTCACAACTGGCCCCGCAGACACAGCTTTGTTCAGCCTCCCATGAGAGCAGCCACAGTTCGGGCCCTGTCACCTCTGCTGTCCCTCAAGGCCTGGGCTCTCCTCAGCTTTACACAGCCCTGGGCTGGAGCAGGAGGAAGAGCACTAGACAGGGATTGGCCAAAAGGGCGCCATCTGGAACCATATGTTTGTGCACCCATCTTGGGGCGGGATCTCCCAGGCACTATGCCCATCTTCTACCAATTCTGCACCCTGCCTCTGCCTCTCAAACTGCAGTCTCTGAGCTCCTACCAGCATGTTCCTTCTCGGCAGCGGCTGTCGTGCTGAGGGACCATCTTCCAGGCTACGAGCCCCTCGCCGATAGGAGCGAGTGCTCTCCGAGCTGAAAGGCAGAGAAAGGTCAGTGTCATCCTAGAGCCCAGAGCCACTCAGAGTGAGGAGATTGGGCTCATGTGAACAGCAAGCTGGGGGCTGAGGATGGGTGTGCAGAGGGTCCACAAGACCCCAAGGCTGCATCCATCACAGGCCCCAGAGGCCTGGAACTGAAAACCAGGGGCTTTGGAGGTATCCCCAAGTCCAGCTTCCCCAAACTCCAGAGAAAAAGGGTGTCCAAGGAAGGGAGAGGACTGGGTTGTGGGCTGGAGTTGAGGATACAAGCTACGAAGCTGGGGCTAAGCCTTCTCTTCCAACCTCAGCAGCCAGAGTCCCAGGGCAGACTTGGGAGCAGGACGGGGAAGGGGAAGGAGGCAACACCACTCCCTAAGGTCTAGGATATCTGCCTACAGTGTGGGCACCAGAGAGAGCTGGAATGTGGTCTAGTCTTGGAGCAGGTACTATTAGGCGCAGGGAAACAAATAGATGCTCAGAGAAGTCAGGGCTCTTGCCTTGGTCACACAGCTGGCCCCTCACCCACCTGAACCTGACGGGGAGGTACACTTCTGAGGGGGTGATCCCAGATGTCAGGCCAGCTCGGGAGGTGCCTGGGGGCTCCTGGAGGCCTTCCTCAGAGCTGGGAAGGGCTTGGCTGGCCACCCCAGATTCCACAGGGCTTGTGAGACTGGAGGAGGAGGAAGCTGGGCTGCCCAGGCCCTCAGGGGCCTCAGGGGGCTCGGACCTCAGGCTGGAGACTTCAGAACGATCTGGAACCAGAAATGATAATTTCCTCTGCTCCATATCAAAGTAGTCTTTGGCCTCTAGGATCTATCATGGTTCTGTCCACCTCTCCAGCTGTCCCAGCTGCAGGGTACATTCACATCAGCAGGTCATGCTGGCTCACTGCTCCACTTCTGCTCATGACCTTGGCTCTTGTTCAGCCCAGGTTCTACGCACCCCCTCTCGAAAGCCCTTCTAACCTACCCCAACCCTAGCAGGACCTGCTCTCTCCCCTGATCTCCCAGAACAAGCCTGCTCTACCCATTCAACAAGTAGTTCCTGAGCACAGAGAGCCAGGCTTGGTGTGAGGTACTGGAGAAACAGCAGTCAACAGTTCAATCCCTGTCCTTTGGGAATTAACAGTCTCTATGGCACTGACCTTTATACCATAATCAATTGCATTCCAGGATTTGGGCTGCAGCACATGATAGAGAAGTGCTCTACTGTTGAGCTACACCCTCAGCCCTGCATTCCAGTTTTTATCTCCTTACTGGATCTAGAGTCCTGGCAACTTCCAAAGGACTCAAGATGCAGTGGATGCATCATAAACTTTTTTTTTTTTTTTTTTGGTGTTTTGAGACAGGGCCTTGTTATGTAGTTCAGGCTGGCCTTGAACTCACTATGTAGCCCAAGGTAGCCTTGAATTCATGGGACTCCTTCTGCTTCAGCCTCCTGAGTGCTAAAATTACAGATGTGTACCTTTCCATAAACTATTGCCTGTCTCATTTAATCGAAATTGGGCCGGGGATTTAGCTCGCAAGCACAAGGTCCTGAGTTCAATCCCTGGTACCCCCAAAATGTAAGCGAAATGATGAGGAATAAGGAATGAGAGCTGGGTCACTTGGAATAAGACAGACCTGGGTTTGAATCCCACATCAGAGGCTGATTAGCTATGGGACCCTGAGTACAGTGCTCACTTAATGTCTCTGGACCTCCATCTGCCAGTGACTGTGAGGATGGTTCAGACTAGCTCATACACATTCTTGGCTCAGTGCCCCAGCACATAGTAGGCCCTCAAAAAATGGGAGGTATTTTTCTGGGCAGCCAACTCTACCTCCACTGGCATGGCCCGTACGCCCTTGGACCATGGTCCGAGAAGAGGCTTTGACTGGCAAGGGTGGGGGGCAGTCCTCACTCTGGCTCTGTGGGCTGGCTGATCCCAGGCTGCCGATGGTCTCATAGATCTTGTTGCTGATGTCCAGCCTCCCGCTGGCCCAGCGGGCTTGGGCCGGGGGCTTCAGAGGGCAGTGCTGTGGGGCAAGGACAGTCTGGTTTCCCCAGCTCAGCCTGTCCTCCCACACCAGCCGTAGTCCAGCTTTCCTTCTGCCATCTCAGGCCTGCCGGACAGGGGCCGAGGCAGAGGCTGGGCCCCACCTTCTCTTCCTCGTCATCCTCACTGTCAGAGCCAGGCTCCACAGAGATTCCCCAGGAGTGGTCCAAGTGCAGTGGGAAGGTGAGGGTCCCCACCTGCGCCTGCTCCAGCTGCCAGGAACAGAAGGTTTCTAGGTCAGAGGTCAGGGGGCTGGCAGAGAGAGGAAGGGCAGAGGGCAGCGGCTTCCCTCAGACTCACCAGCTCCTCACACTCCTTGTGCTGCTTCTTCCTGACTATGTCCAGAGCTGTCTCTCCTGCCTCATTCACTGTGATGGGGTAAAGCCAGGGGTCATGGTCACGGTGGAGAAAACGTAACAGCTTAGAGATTAAGATGGGCCGAATCAAATTTCCCTATAAGGTCAATACTCAACCTAACCATTGAATTTGATTCAGTTCTCATCCAATTCATTTTGTGACCAGAATCGTGGAAAGAATTAAATTCATGAACCAAGGTACCACTGTATTTGAAACTATCTGACCAGGCTCTTGTGAGAATTATATTAATATGCATAAATCACTTGACACATTAGCAGGCATATGTTAAACCAGTAAACAGCAGCTATTGTAAACAGTATTATCCAGATTCAGCTAATATTTTGCTAGATACTTTCAGAAGGATTTTTTAAAATCTTTTTAGCAGGTCTACTAGCTCCATGGCATCACTCCCATTTTACAGATGTGAAAGTTGAGGTTCCAGAGATGAATACAGACCCCTAAGGACACAGAGGCAGGCAGAAACAAGCCCATCTGTCTTCAAAGCTGTGCTTGTTATCAGTGCCCTTCATCCAAAAAGCAGGCAGGGAGCCCCACCCAAGGGCAGTGGGCATCACAGTCTGATGGGGGGCACTTAGCCACACCTGTGCCCACTGAGGCTCTCCCTTTCAGCAGCAGCTTGAGGCAGTCGGACTGGCCATGGAGTGCGGCGTAGTGCAGGGCAGTGTTCCCATCTGCAGCCTTGGCGTCCAGGTGGCCACTGGGGGAGGGAGCACAGAAGAGGGACAGATGCAGCATGGAGGGGGACAGAGGAGGTCAAAACCGGGGGGGGGGGAGGAAAGAGGAGGAGGGCAGGTGGCAGGCAGGTTCTCACCCGTTCTGGATGATGAAGTCTACCAGGGGCAGGGACGCCTGGTTGGCAACTCTGATGGCCAAGTGCAGGGCCAGCTCTCCAGGTGCCTGAATACACACATCCACACCTGAGTTCCCCCAGGCCAACTGCCCCCACCCGATGCTGCCCTCTCCAACTCTTGCTGCCCATACACCTCCAGATAGGAAGAAGCTGCCAGAACCCCAGGGAGATGAAACTGAAGGGGCAGAGCCTCACATCTGGGGAGACGGGAAAGGGCCAATCATCCCCTCATTGTTTCAGTACAGTTTGTTCCTCCTCTGCCCCCCACAAAAGGAGTGTTTCCTGAATTTCATTCTGTCCTGGGCTTCCATCTCTACACACAATTCCCACTGTGGGCCCCGCAGCCTCATACCTTCCACTATCAATCACACACAGAGCTGTCCCATCATTCAGGGTGCTGTACATTCTGACCTCACTCAAGTGTCATCCCCTCACTGTCCACTGGGCAGCCCAACAAAATATTAGACAGCTCAAAGAGATTCAGTTGTTTCTTTAGTGGGGGATTCTTTATGGGGGGGGGATGATGCTGGGGATTGAACCCAGGCCTTGTGCACGCCGAGCACATATGGTACCACTCAGGCACAACCGCAGCCCATGGCATCCAAATTCTAATATCCAGTCAGCAACTCCTGATTTAATTCTTCCAGCCTCTGATATCTTTTCTCCTTGCTCACATGGTATTGATTACTGGGACAGCCAATGTGATAGCCTTCCCTGCTCTAATCTGACCTGCCCTCATCTACTCCCAAGCTATTCAACCCTGTAGGAGCTATTTTTTACCCATTTTACAGGTGAGGAAATGAGTCTCAGATAAGTTAAGCAAGCTGCCCTGAAATGCACAGCTTGAAAAAGATACAATCAGGGTTCTGGCTCAGGGCTGCTTGACTGAAGCTGTGCTCTTTCCCATTTACCCTTGGGATTTGAGCAGATGGCAGAGACAGGGTCCAGGGGAGTACGAGCTGGTCCTGCAGGAGGCCTGCAGAGTGTGTGCAGGTGGGTTACAGGTGGACTTGGAGGGGTTCTCACCTGCCCATCCGGCCCTGGCAGTGGCTGTCCAAAGTCCTGCCCACTGGCAAAGGCCTCCAGTACCGACAGGAGGTCCCTGTTGTAAATGGCTGCCTGGAGTTTCTGGGGCTCACATGCAGATCGGCGGGCAAACTTGTGTTCTACGTACTTGGCCACGATGTAGTCCCTTCGGGTGCTCCTACCAAGACAACCACGGTTCTCAGAGGAAGGGTGGTATCTGCCCAGCTGACCCTGCAGCTATCCCACGGAGGAGAGCGCCCCGTTCCCCGAAATCATGTCTTGCAGACTTCCAAATCTGAGGCTTTCCTCTCCCCCAAACTTCTGATCTTGGACACTTCGGAGACCCGGGACCTGGGAAGGCAGAATCCCTCTATCCCTGGAACCTCCGTACATGTCACTCTCGGCAGAGGGCTTACTGCCACCGTGAGAGGGCAGCTGGGCCTCCATGATCTCATTGAAGCGCGTGTTTCCGATGTTCAAGGCCAGCTGGAGACACAGGAAAGTGTGCGTGTGGGTAAAGCCAGGTGGTTAGGGACACGCTCAAGGGAAAGCTGAGTTTCCCGGAAGTCGCATCCCTCGGTGGCCCTCTCCATCCAGGCCCCACCCTCGACCCTACAAGCTCCAGAGGATCCAAAGCCCAAGCCAAGCCCCCAGGAAAAGCCACACCCCCAGCCCTGCCTCAGGTCCGGCGCTCCACCTGCTCTCACCAACAACTCGGAGGGGCCCAGCAGGTCCAAGGTGAGGGACTGCATGCGTGAGAAGCGTACGCCCAGCTCCCGGTGGACGCCGGAACACTGGATGCAGGTGAGCACGCCCAGGTTGGTGCTGAGCCACGTTGGGTCTGCAGAGGCCCACAGCTGCAGCGCGCAGGCGTGGCCCCTCCCCTCCCGCCGGGTCCCGCCCCACCACGGACCTGTAGCCCCGCAGTCGCAGCACTGGCGGTTGCCTGGCCTGCTCTTCACCTCTGCGATGAGCAGTTTCGTGAGGTCCTGGGGCTCCCCGTCCAGTCCAGGGCCTGTCCCGGATCCGGGGCCGCCACCAGGCTCACCGAGGAAAGCGCTGCTCAAGGCTTCATCCTTGCTGTTCTGCAGCACGGACACCCACCTGTGCAGACAGAGGGGGAGATGCTCTTGGCTGGGCACGGACAGGTTCCCAGCCCTGCCCGCGGCGCCTCGGGGCACTCACGCCTCACACTCGTGCTCGTCCTCCGCCTGGAAGTGGTACGTCCTGTTGTCTGCGAGAGAGAAGAGGGCATCAGGCCACTTTAAACCACTGCATCCAGACGGGCTTCTGACCCTGTCGCAGGTCAGGGCACAGCGCCCTGCCCAGGAAGGGCATCCCCTGAACCTGCTGTCACAACCCCACAGGTCCCTTAGCCTCCTGCTCTCCCTGCTTCTCTCTTCCCCCAAAGTCAAGCCCGAACCGACTCCCAGGCTCTACTCATACTGCCCCAAGGAGTGCGGTTCAGACCTTCAAGAGGCCTTGTCTCCCACTACTCCTGCGTGAAACTTCCACTCTGGCCAAACTGGCAGGACACACTCGCCCACTCCCGTGCCTTTCGTCATGCCAACCTGTCTCCTGAACTGCCCCTCATCTCTACATTCTTGGGGTCCTTCAAAGCTGAACTTCTCTAAGCAGCCCCTCCTGACTCCCCACAGCAGAGCGGGCTTTCTCTGTGGCTCTTTGTACCTCTGTTCTGGACACACCACTCGACAGACCTGGGTCCCTCCTCACATCCCTGAGGGAGAGCCTCCCAAAGGGCAAGATCTAGGTCTTGACTCAGCCTCACAGAAAGCCTGGCGACAAAGGCTCCAGAGGATAAGAAGTGAAAACTTTAAAGGATTAATAATGTAAAAGCCAGATTACCCCAAACCATTGAAATATACTTTATATAATAATAACACATAATGTGGAAAGTAGGTGCAGTTTAATGTTCACTGCGAGGGGAGGTGGAGCTTTTAAAATGAGTCCAGGCCCTGCAGAGTCACAGGCCTGCAGTTGCACCTATCTGATACTGGGTGGAACTGGAAACAGACCCCTAAACTGTAGCCTCTGGGGAATGGACAGTGCTCTTGGGGACCCTGGGCAGCTGTGGGGACTGGGCAGGAACCACTCACGGGTCACTAGGTCGAAGCATTTCTTCTCCTCCGAGTTTGGCCTCACTTGGCATGTGAACAGAGTCAGCTTCACTGGGGGCCGGTTTATCTGGGGGAATTTGGGGTGAGGGAGGTACGCATGTTACCTTTGGACCTCCCAAACACTCCAGGCCTCTATTTCCCAATATGTTACATGGGTATAATAATCCTGTCCCAGTTTATATTGCTCTCTTCCAGCACCTCAAGGACTAGGGGCTCTGGATCCCACCCTTCCTCCCTCAAGGGTCTCCAGTGCCCTGGATCCAAGTTTGGGGGGCCAGTCTTGGATGGAGGACTTGACGTCTATCTGCTCAGAACAACAGGAGAGGCCTCACCATGCTGTGTGAGATGGTCAGGCAGCCATACTTGACCCCACACTTCCTTTTCTGCCAGACTCTTCGAATCCTAAGGCCCAGAGAGATGGAAATGTAGTGACCTAGAGCTCATCCCTAACTCCCCAATGAAGAACAGAGTTCTGGCCCCACCTCTGTGACCTCTGGCCACTTCTCTTCAACTCCTCCGTCCTTAGTCCCTGAACCCCCTCATTCTATGGGACCCCTTCTGACAGAGACATGGTCCTTCCCTCAGGAAGTTCCCAGTGTGATGGAGAAACAGCCCCACTCTCTGGGAACCTTTATTCTAAAGGGGATGATGTGACTTTATTCCCCTGAGACCTATCCTGAGGGAGGAGACTCTGTTTGGAACATTAGGGAGATCCCAGTCTGAGAGGAGGAACAGGCTCTTAACCACAACAGATAAATTACAGTTAAACAAAACAAGATAAATATTGAGGACCCCCCCCAAATAAAAGCAAATCCATGAATCAGTGCTGCTTAACACTTCTCTCATAAGAGTTAAATATTCAGCTGGGTGTGATGGCGCACACCTGTAATCCTAGCACTCCGGGACAATGAGGCAGGAGGATTGAAAGTTTGAGCCCTGTGCAGACAATTTAGGGACTTAGTGAGACCCTACCTCAGAAATTTTTTTAAAAACCCAGTTTGGGGGGCTGGGGATGTAGCTCAGTAGCACAGCACCTGCCTGGCAAGCGTGAGGCCCTGAGTTCGATTCCTGGTACCAAAAAAAAGAAAAAACAAAACCAGTCTGGGGATATAGCTCAGTGTGAAAGCCCTGGGTTCAATTCCCAGTACCACAATAAAAAATAAATAGTTGAATATTCATCATCTTCCTCTTCAAAGTTATTCTCTCTAAAACACTGATCAGTAAGTACAAACATGACTATATCTCACAAGGGCCTGTTATGGTTTAGATCTAAAACCTTCTCCAAAAGTCTCATGTATGCAGAGGTGGGGCTTGAGGGTAGCGACTGGATCACAAGGGCTCGATAACTTTGTCAGTGCATGAATCCACTGATAAGATCATAATCTGATGGCATTATGGGGAGATAATGGAAACTCAGGAGATGGGACCTAGTTGAAGGGAGTGGGTCATGGGGGTGTGGCCTTCCAGACTCTATCTGGTCCCTGGCCCCTTTCCCCTTCCACTTCCTGGCTTCCCTGAGATGAGCGGCTTTGTTCCACTATGCCCTTCCTTTGTGTTTGCTGTCTTACCTCAGGTCCACAGGCATGGAACCAGTAGACTATGGACTGAAACCAGTGAAACTCTGAACCAAATCTTTCCTCCTTTCAGTTGTTTTTCTCAGGTATTTGGGCACAGCAATGAAGAGCTAACAGCCGCCTTTTTCAGATTTCCTTTTTTTTTTCCACCAGGGAGCAGGACACAGTTGACATTTTCATTTCAAGGTATTTGGTATACATGGCTGGTGAGGGTCAGGGTGTAGTAAACACTCAGTAACTCTTAGCTGCTGCTACACTTGAAGAACAACCGGTAACCTTTAGCAGAACTTCACATACCACTCCACACCAGAGTGGAGGGTCCTGGAACCTTCAGGGTCTACATAAAGGTTAAAAATGGTCCCTCTGGGCAGCTTCCCTGACCCTGTCATTTTCTAGCTGTGTACTTTAGGCAAGTTGACTAAGTTCTCAGAGTTACTCACCCATCACTTTTCTTGTACAGAAAGCCCACTTTCTCTGTCCCAAACTGCTTGTTGCCTTGGTGCTGGTGGATGCTGTAGCCGGCCCCAGAGTTCTTCCGCCTCAGGTGTTCCTGCCCTCAGACATACAAAGGAGGCTGGGCTGAGAAGGAGAGCCTCATGCTGGGGGCCTCTCTCTCTCTCCCTTCTCCATGGTGGCCCCGGGGAGGGAATCGTCTTGGGAAGATTCAGGCCTCACCTCTCTGCTTTCAAGCTGCAGCGACCCTCGCAGGGAGTCCCGGAGCTGGGTCAGCTTCTGTAGCTCCTCCTCCTGGGCTTGATGCAGCTACCGACAGAAGACGGGACCCCATGGCCAGCCAGCAGATGTGCCAGGGCACTGCCTGACTCCATGGGCAGGAGGGCTCTCCCACACCCACAGATCTTCCCGAAGGACAGGGGCCTGAGCACATGCCCAAGGGCGAGTCCCGACTTACTGCATGGACTGAGGCTGCCAGCTTCTCGATGAAGGGAGACAGGCTCTGAGCTGCCTTCCAGCCATCTTGGAAAAAGCTAAGAGGGATCAGAAGCCAAAGGAGAATCCAGAGAGAGATGGAAATAAAGATGAAGCCATAAGTGTAGGGGAAGGTGCTCTAAGGACCACAGGGCACCCAGGAGCATATGCTCTGATGGGTACTCAGAGACAAGAGTGTCTGGGTTCAGTTCCCACTGACTAGCTGTGGAAGCTTGGTAAATGGGCCTCAGTTTCCTCATCTGTAAAGTGGGGATAATAACTTAGCTGCCACGGGGGGACTGAGGGAAATCATGCATATAAAGTTCTTAGTGTTTGACATATGGGCACTTGATAGAAACAACTGTGCAAGTGTTGTGGCTCTGCCAGCCCCTGGAGATCTGCCTTGTTCTGCCACCCTAAGGGTGCAAGGTAGGATGAGGAGATACCTACTTGTGCTGTGCATGGAAGAACTTGATGAGGCTCTGGAGGAAGTCGGGACCTTGCTTCATCTGACTCTCCCCAGCTTTGAGCAGGTACTAAAGGAGGGTGGGGCAAGACGTGTGATGTGATGAGAACGGAAGCTGGATTCAGGGGACAAGGCCATGGTCCCCCACCTCAGGCTAATTTTTTTTGGCTGTGACTGATCCTTGTTGACATCTCATAGGCCATGTGGCCAGGACCTGAACTGAGCTATGACTGGGCCCCTGGGGACTCAGGAAAGGCCGACAAGAAGACATACCCAGGACACACATCCTCACACAGGACACCTTACCTCACACATGTGCAGCTGGAAGATACGTCGCTCCCGCTGTGTGTCCTGGGCCACCTCCCCAGGAAGTCCTCCTGTCACCCTGGCCCGTTCCCGCTCCTTCTCCAGCCTGGCCCTGCATGGCAAGGGAGGAGAGGTCTGAGAAGCTCCCCCCAGCCCTTCTCCTATCCACCACCCTTCCATCCTCTTTGTGAAGGCTGCACAGTGTGGGGACCACGAGATATACATGATATATTCTCCTTGCCGGGGCAAACTTAGGGAGTCCACTGAGTGGTGGGGGAGATACTAAGTCACTGGAAAATGACAGGAGAGTAAAATGGGACCCATTCGCATCCAGGCTGTGATCTCTGTGCGGACTGGTGAAGCCGGAAGAGTTAGCTTGGAGGGGACCACAGTGGTGGAGGCCACAGCAGGGCAGGAAGACAAGGCCTTCGTCAGCCCAAGGTGGGAGGGACTAGGGACCATGCAGACAGGGGCAGGGCGAGGGAGGGGATGCTGGCTGGGTCACCAGGGGGCCAGACCCCTCCAGGCCTGGATCCAACCATGTGAAGCTCTTTAGTCTTTAGCCCTAGAACAACGGGAAGGGTTTGACGGTGGGACACATCAGGCTCTGATAAGGACCAAGTGGGACTTGTGTGACTAATTCTGATTAGCTGCAAAGGATTTAGGATTGTGTAGGTTAGAGGACTACAAAGTGGTTTCATTCTTCTGAGCCTGCAGAGTTTCCCATTTAAGCTTTTTTTTTTTTTTTTTTTTGGTACCGGGGATCGAACACGAGACCTTGCACTTTCGAGGCAGGCGCCGGAACCACTGAGCTAAATCCCCGGCCCGCCATTTAAGCTTATAAAACCTTTGTTCTGGGCTGGGGGTATAGCCCAGTAGTAGCACATTTACCTAGCATCACAAGCCTTAGGTTCAATCCCCAGCACTGCAAAAAACAAACTTTTATTTTTTGGTTTTTTGTTAGCACTGGGATTGAAACCAGGGCCTAGGCACTGAGATATATCCTCAGCACTTATTTTACTTCGAGACAAAGGTCATGCTATGTTGCCCAGGCTGGGATCAAACTTTTGATCTTCCTAGTTGAGCCTCCTCAGTAGCTGCGATTACAAGAGTGTGTAAGGGCCAGGGATTTAGCTCAGTGCCACCAGGCCTGCCTCAAAAGTGCAAGGTCCTGAGTTCGATCCCCAGTACCAAAAAAAAGAATGAAAACAAGAGTGTGACATCACCCTGGCATTGTTCTTTCTTATTCACTCATTCACTCATTTTCCCTCTCTCTCTCCCTCTCCCCCTCCCCCCGCCTCTCTGTCTCCAGGGTCTTGCTGTGTAGTTCAGGATGGCTTGAACTCACTATGTAGCCAACTTTGGCCTCAAATTCAAAGTAATTCTCCTGCCTCAGCCTCCTAAGTACTGGGACTACAAGTATGCACCACTACACCTGGCTGTTCTTTTCTTTTTAGGTGGAGTAAGAAAATGCTTTCCATCCTTACAGTTAAAAGTAATCTGGCCCTTTCCCCCACAGATCTCAGGGGTTGGCTGTTTTCCCTCGTGGGGATGGATGGATTGGTGTGTAAGTGATTCCCAGAAATCTCATGCCCCTCAGGCCACCCACTGGCAGTCAGGAGAATATTTCCACATCTCAGGCTGGGCACATGGAACCACAAATCCCATGTAAAGGAGACACCTTGCTTAACACTCCTGCTCCCAAGGGGGCTGAAGCCCTGAGCAGGAACAACAGAGTGGGATCAATATTGGCTCTGTTTACTGGCAGCATTACTTCCATTCTCTGTTTCCTCATCTGCAAAATGGGGATCCTTATCTATATCCAAATGCGATACAGTGTACAAAAGACTTAGCACACAGAAGACATGTGGATACTACTCTAGGCCCTTTTCCTATCTGTAAACTGAGGAAATTATGAAGTCATCACTAGTTCAAGTCACACAGCTATGAAGTATGGAGTCAGGATTTGAACTCAGATCTGTGTGACACCAAAGCCTTAGGGGCAGCTCTGATAACCAACACTGTTCTCAGATGGGTTCCATCTCTCCTGCCCTGCCTGGATGCCACCATCTGATGACAATGGTCACACTGTGTCTTTCATAAGGACCATCTTGCTGATGATAAAGCTGAATCCCTGAGAAGGGAAATGACTTGCTCAAAATCACAATCTGGTCAGCAGAAATGCTAGGGGCAAGTGTATGGGCTTCTGCCTCTCAGGCCCATGTATGTTACTCGGGCCCAGTTCCGGCTCAGAGAGATCTAAAGCACTGGGTTGTGCTGATTTTATCTCCATACTAACCCTCCATGGTATCACTAGCCCTGTTTTACAGATAGGAAACAGACCTGTACCTGGAACAGCCTAGATAACCCTGGTCCCTGCACAGAGTGTGGCCAAATTTCTTAGCAGCTACAGGTGGAGAGGGGACCCTCTTCCTACCTGAGTGGCTGGGGGTGAGGCTCTGAAGGTATTTGACAGCTGCCACTAGTTCTTGGGCCCTTCCTGCTGCTGTGCAGGCTGGTTTGGTAAGAATGGTGGAATCACACCACAGCTTGCAGCTCACTGCCATGTGGGCTATACCTGGAACCCCCATGAAAAGGAATGCACACAGTCACCTGTGTCAGGACATTGCTCAATTTGTGTTGCTCTGTGGCAGAAGAGGACTGGGTCCCAATCCAGGATCTGTCAGTATAGCTCACAAGATACCATTTAGTTGTGGGTCTTTTTCCCATCAACTAAATGGTGTCTTGTCCTTACTTTTTTTTTTTTAAAGATAGGGTCTCACCATGTAGTCCAGGCTATGTAGCCCAGGTTGCTGTGGAACTCACAATCCTCCTGCCTCAGTCTTCAACTGCTGGGATTAGAGGTATGTACCATTGCACCCAACTGGTGAAACTAAATTTAAAAGATTAAATGAAACTGTAGCTGGAGATGGTGGTGCGCGCCTATAATCCCAGCACTTAGAAGGCTCAGGCAAGAGGAGCACCACAAGTTCAAGGCCAGTATGGGATATACAGTGAGTTCAGGGCCAGCCTAGACTAAGCAAGATCCTGTCTCAATAAATGAATGAATGAATGAAATCTTACAAGAAAGTTCAGTATAGAAAACTAGTAATAGGGCTGGGGGTTTAGCTTAGTGGTTCCGGTGCCTTCCTCGAAAGCACATGGTCCCGAGTTGGATCCCCAGTACCAAAAAAAAAAAAAAGAAAGAAAAGAAAACTAGTAATAGCAGACCTGCCTAAGGAAGGGGCAGGGTAGAAATTATTCTTTTCATTTCCTAGGCAAGACCTTGAAAGGGGCTACAGAGCAAATCATAGACAAGGACAGCCTTTGTCTGCACCCCCTGTCTTTGGGCCTCCAAAGAGAACAGATGGCCATGCCCCATCATGGACAGGAAGAAGCCCCATAGGAAGGGCCATGCAGGACCCACAGCCTCCATCACAAGCTTAGCTCTCAGCTAGGATTGGTGATGTGAGCAGAGGGAGGAGACATGCCCTTCCTTCAAACTTGGTAGGTGCTCATGACTTTGGAAGTTGGATGGGTCCTACAGAAGAAACTGTCAGTGGAAGCAAATATTTAGTTCCAAGGATTTGTTCCCAATGACAGGGGTGGATTAAATACATTACGCACATGCATATGATCATGCACACAATAGCACACCCTGCACCCACTTAAGTGACGTTTAAGAATATGTAATGATGCAGAAAAAATGGTCACAATGTGTTTTTGGATGAAAACAGAGATTATAAAACATTATGATAATTATAGTCTCAGTTTTGTAAGAATATTTCCATATATATATAAATATTGAACCAGGGATGTAGCTCAGTGGTGCCGCCTGCCTCACAAGCAGACGGTCCCGAGTTCAATCCCCAGTACCACACACAAAAAAAATTAATAGTTTTTGGAATCTAAGGATTTTTCCCTGCCTATAACAGAAGTATTAGATCTCTCCCATATCCTTTCCTAAGGACGATTAAATATTTCCATCTTTTACTTATCTATATTATATATATATATATATATATATATAAAATAAATACTACTTTGGAAAAAATGCAAGAGAAAACGAATTTTTATAAATGGTTGCCTGGGTATGATGGCACATGACTGTAATCCCAGCACTCAGGTGACTGAGGCAGGAAGATCGCTGTGAGTTCAAGGCCACCCTGGGCTACACAGTGAGTCCTGTCTGAAAAAAAAAAAAAGGTATAAAAAAAGAATAAATGGCAATCTGAGGTATAGGCCTGATGGGGTCCTGGCTAAGGGCTGGGGCTGGGCCCTGAACAGAGTTCTTAGAAGACAGAGCCTGAGGAAGAGTTTCTAAGAGGGAAGAGTTGGTCACTGGGTGCTTAAGCATCCTTCTGTCCCCCTGATGTCCCCAATGGCTAGTGGGAGAGCTGGAGTGTAGAGTGGTCCACACAGTAAGCCTGAGTATGGCACAAACTCCTTTTCTTCTTCTGTGTCAACTAAATGTTCATAGATACCACCTTGTTTTGAAAAACAAGGAGTCAGAAACACGAACCCCAACTCTCCCTCTGCCTAGCTGTGTGGGCTCAGCCAAGTGGCTTCACTACTGTGAAGTGGTCACCGCAGGCACTATCCAAGTTCCCTTCACCACAGCTTCCTTCCAGTGATCTCATGGCCTAGCCCCCAGAATATGGCCAGGCCTAGGTATAAAGCAGCCCTATATGTGCCTCCTGTGAATGAGCATGAGGTCCGTGCACTGTGGGTGTCATGTCCTGGCAGCACTTAGGATGGTTTCCATATCCGCCTCCTGCTATGACACAAATGCCTCCCTCCTGGACAAACCACTGGGCCATAGCCACTTACACTCTGGCTTCGTAGTCCTTCCACGCTTTCTCCAGCTGCTTTTTGGAGTCCTATCATTTAAAAGAGAGTAATTTGCCCAAAGGGAAGCTTGCACTCTGGAATAATCAGGACACTCTGCTACCTTTAGGGGGACCCTGCCCCTATGCTCCCCTCTACTGACTGCTCAGAGCTGTTCTCTAGCTAGCCCCTGCCCCACAGCTACCCAGACTGAAATCCTACCTCCCCCAAATAGACCCAACCAACCCCATTTCCCAGGGCTCAGCCCCTTCTCCACCTCCACCTTATCCTTTCCAGGGTTCCCTAGAATCAGTCAGGTTTGTGGGCCCTGGCCTGGGGAGAGGAGATCTCTGGGTTTTGCTCTGAGTCTTGTCACTCAGAAGACAGCGACAGACCTTGAGGATGAGGATGGGAAGATGAAGGACAACCTCTTTTCCTGACTTCATCCCACTATTTTCATTTGCCTGGAAGTGATCACCCTCTCACCAGGAATGGTTTAAGACAAGAAACCTTATGTACAGAGAGGTTGAGGAGTCTCCCCAAGGCTGCACAGCAAGCCAGTGAGACTTGGCTGATCCCTGGCCTGGGGTCATCCAGCTGGGCTGCTCACACTCTTTTTTTTTGGTACTGGGGATTGAACTCGGGTCCTTGTGCTTGCAAGGCAGGTGGCAGAACCACTGAGCTAAATCCCTGGCCCTGCTCACACCTTTCTGAACAGCTCTGGCTTCCACAGAGAAAAAGCTGCCTGTCTGGTTCCGGTAGTTCCCAGGCTAGTGTGCAGCCTAGGAAAGGGAAAGAGCCCTCCAGAGGGAGGACAGCTCCTCCCCTGGGCTTCCTGGGGCAACAGTGCCCAGGGAGATTAATCTGTCACTTTCTCTGAGCTCCACTCTGCCTTGATTAGGGCTGCCAGGTGCAGAGAGCAGCCAGATTCCCACCCCCAGCTCCTCCACCTACTAGCAATGGAAACCACAAGCAGCTCACCTTTCTCCTGGGGCCTGCAGATGGGGACCAGAGCACCTGCAGACCCAACCTCACAGGCCGTGAGCAGTAGGACAGCAGTATGGAGGGGCCGCTGGTCAGCACTCCATGATGGCCCCTCACTCGGCCTTGCCCTCAACCCAACCCTGCCTCCCGTGTCACCCCCCCCGCCTCTGCCCCCCATCCTGCAGAGACTCACCTGCCGCCCGTCCCTTAGCTGGCCCTTCATCAGACTGTCCAGTGGGAAAGAGACAATGTTGTTCAGGTTCTGAACCTGGAAAAAGGAGACCCCACCCCAGCCTTGTGTGACTGTTCAGCCCCAAGGGTCTCAGAGCACAGTGAAGCATCAAAAGGCAAAGGGGCACCATGAGGGTGTGGGAAGCAGGGAGAGAAAGAGATACAAGGCCATAATGGAGAGGGAGCAAGGAGGTGGCGGGGTGGCAGCCCTGACTGCCCTGGCCTCACCTCACTACTCCAGGACAGCCCTTATCCCTAGTCCCTTGGTCAGTCTCCCCTCTGCTCCTTACCAGGAGCCCCCTCAGTTCTCCTCTCTGACTCTCAGTGCAACTTGGCTAGTTCTGTGGCTCTTCCAATGGTAAGAGAAGCCCCTTCCTGTGGGGAACACACAGCAGCCAATCTGATCAGAACACCCGCCTCGGGGCTACAGTGATTGGGTCAGGCACAGACATGTGACCCAAGCCAGCCGATCAGGATCTTCTCTGGGATTTTCTCTCTTCAGTCATGGGGGAAAGACTGTCTTTCTGCTGGTGAGATGTGTTCCAGGGTGGCTGGTCTGTCTTCTCCACTGAGCAGAGACAGAGAAATTAAAAAAGAGACAGAGCCTAAAGCCAACTGTACCCCTGGCCTTCCTGTTACAGGGGCCAACAAATTCCCTTGCAAAAAATTAACCTATTTGGAGTTGAGTTTCTGTTTTTTGACAACCCAGAGAGGACTAATATTTCAATCCACCTTTCAAGACACACCTTAGGGCTCCCTTCCTCCAGGAAGCTCCTGCAGAGCACTGCTGCCTGATCTGTGCCCAGCATCCTTTCTTGAACATGGTTGCACTAGCCTGACACCACCCACTGGGCCTCAACTTTGTGCCACACTGCTGGTAAGGCTGATGTGACCCCACACCTCAGATCCTGTCTCCCCAAGAGACTGTGGCTCTCTGAGGCAGCACCTGACTCTTTCCTGTATAATTGGCTGCCAGGACAATGCCCACCAGAGAGCAGACCCTCAGAGCACACTAGTATCCCTGAAATGAGAGGAGGGCTGAAGGCAGAGGACACAGGTTCAGTTGACACCATGTTAGTCACCAGTTACTGAGTGCCTGCCAGGAGTGGGCCCTGGACTTGCTTCCTCATTACTACTCTAAGGTGGGTACCACTGTCACCCCAGTCTTACAGATGAGAGAGACCTGGAGTTCAGGCAAAGTGAGTGGTGTCACCTCCAGAGCAGTAGAGCAGGAACTCCAGGCCAGAGCTAGGCCCATAGGCAGTGCTTGGCCGCGAAACACACTGCCTTTCAGAGGTAATGTAGTCCCTGCAAGCCAGGCAGGACCCTGAGCAGGCCTGGAGTAAATGGCCAGTCCAGTGTCACACAGCCAAGGGGGCAGGAGAGGCTTTTCTGGGAGGCAGCACAGCCACGTGATACCCAGACACTATAGCCAGACAACCTGGGTTCAAACCCAGCAGAGGGCCTTGGGTATAAAACTGCCTGTGTTGCAGATTCCCAGGCTGTGAAATGGGGACAACAGTAGTACCAGCCCCAGAGCCATGTGCCATGATGAAACGAGTTCATATATGGGAAGTCCTGAGAACTGGCCCTGTCCATGGAAGGAGCTGGTATCATGGGGCAGCCCCAAGGTGGGGAATCAAAGGACCAGGGAGACAGTCACTCAGGAGGCTCTCAGGAGGGTACTAGAGGCCACCAGGCCATGTCATGTGTGGGGCTGACAGACTTGTGGAGTTGGGGGCAGTTGTAGGATTTGAAGTGAAGCAGACGCCATTGGGAAAGCAGAGGACAAAGAGGGGTGGGGAGAGGCAATGGTGAGACCTCCTCTGCTCCAGGATGAAGAAAGAGGAGAACAAAGAGGGAAGAGTTAGGCAAGAAGTCAGAAAAAGCAGGAGAATGCAAAAGATGGGTCAAAGCTGGAAAGAGATCCCAGGTCATGGGTCAGAGGTCAAGGGCAAATCCAAAAAGGGACAAAACTGACTTTCCTAGTCAAATTCTGAAGACCACTGGGTTTACCCTGAGCCTGGCCTGAGGGCTGGTGAGGAAGGGGCGGGGGCCTCACCAGGTTCTTGAAGAGCGCGGCCACCTCTCGGGTGAACACAGCCAAGTTCAGGAAGCCCGTGGACAGCTCGTGGCTGTTCTGGGACAGGTGACTGTTGCCCAAGGACTCCACAGCCTCTCGGTACTGCTCCTCATTGTCCACATGGCCTGCAGAGGTGGGAGGGGGCTCAGCATCTGCTCCAGGCTGGGTGGGTGCACCAAGCAACCTCACTCACCAAGGCCAGAGCTGTGGATCGCCCGCACTGCCTTCTTGATTCTCTGCAGGATAGCCTGGTCTCCTTCCAGGACCTGGAAGTGAGTGTAGACTGGAGTAAGGGTCAGAATCCTGAGCTGGTAGAGATGCCCAACTCCGAGATCCCACCCTCCAGATACACACAAAATCCTGCCATCCTCTGAACTCCACTCCTCCTCTATCCTATATCCCACTCTTCGACCCTCTTCCACTGACCACATAGAAGCCACAGACCAAGGAGACGATGGACTTTCTCCCCACCTCCAATGCCAGCCATGTAAATGTCTGATTCAAAGGCCTGTGGTCCAATGGGGTGACACAGACCTGGGTTTGAACCTCAGTTCAGTCTAGACAAAGCTTTTCACTTCTCTGAGCTTTAAGCACCTTCTCTGCAAAAAGGGGCTGATACAATGGGCTCACAAAGCTGCTGAAAGGATCCCTGATCTGATGAATGTGCACAAAAGGTATGGAGAAAGACCAGTGGAGGGAACATGGATGCCCTTGTGTTCCCAAAAGACACAGGTGGGGGACATTAGGCTCACTAAACAGCCATGTGAGGACAAAGAATAAGGGGCTGGGCACCCTAGTGGGTGGTGGGAGCCGGGGACATTGGGTACTTGGGTCTGTGATGGGGGCATCCCACTCCCACCAGGAGAACCGGTAGGAGTACAGCAGATAATCCCAGACCCAGAGGCATAGATAGGTGGAAAGGTTGGAAGATGTGAGTACAGCAGCCCAGGAGGGCTCAGCTCATCAGGAAACCTCTCCACTCCCTCCCTGCTTCAGGAGCTGCCCAGTGAACTTGGAAAGTACGGCATGTCAGAGCTAGAGGAGACGGGGCCACAGACAGGAAACTGAGGCTGACAAAGGAGGCTCTTGCCCAGAGTCTCACAGTTGGGTAGCAGCAGTGCTGGGTTCCCAGGGTACTAGCACAGGACCCCACCCACACGCCCCAGCCCTCACTGACTCTAGCCTCGGCTACTTCATCCAGTGGCTGAAACGAGGCCAGAGTTCAGTTTCTAAAGAGTTACTTTAATGTGACAAGAGGTAGTAAACACATTTGGGAGGCTAGCTCCAAAGAGTTCAAAGGGGTCTCACAGTGGGGTGAGCACAGGGCAGAGCCCAGAGGCCTCCGTGCATGCCGAGCTCTGGAGGAGGGGGAGGGGTGTCTGGTTTTGAGACCCAGCCTCACCACCCACATGCTCTGTGACCTTGAGCAGGTTCCCTGGGCTCTGAGCTTCCTGATGCGCTGTCTATAGGATATGGGGAACAATGCCTATCTCTTGGGGTGCTTGTGTGGATTCTCTGTATGAGATGATGCATGTAAAGGCTTGAGCTGATGCTGGGCACAGGTGTGTCCCCAGTGGACTGTGCCTATGACTGTCATCATCATCATCAGCTGCTGCTCCCAGGGAGGAAGGTCAGATTCCAGGCACTTTTCCTACATACTCCTGCCTGTCTATGGATTCCAGAGACTTTCAGATATGGGACCAGGAGAGGCCTATCCCACATCTAAAGAAACAAAGTTCAGGAGATGGCAATATTGATTATGCCCAAAGCAGGCTGTGAGCAGAGCAGTGTGTGAAGAGTTAACCCCACAGTTGGCTTGTTGATAGAAGTGAGTCTGGCTGAAGCCTACATGCCAAGGTCAGAGTAACTCACACCCAAATTCTTTTCCCACAACTAAAACCTTCTTACTAGAAGGACAATGTTCCAATTACAACCACATATTTTGTCTATTCTGTTCCTAATTTGAGAATGCTTTGTCTTGTCTTTTACACCCCTGCTTATATTAATTTCCATAGAAACTGCACGACTGTGCATCCTCACATGTAGTACTGCCCTTGCATGTAGCTCACCTTTACCCTAGTTGATTACTAATAAAAATCAGTGGCTTGGACTGGCCAGCGCCTTTGTTGGTTACACCAGTATTGGTCGTCCTGGTCCCCTACTTTTTGTCTCTCTTAGCTCTTTTAGTTTTTTTTTCCTCAGGCTTGCACTGAACACTGAGTAGGAGACTGGAGCCTAATGCAGAGATTTCCAGTAACATTTCAGAGGTCCCCAGTACAAAGCCAAGGAATCAGGAATTGATGAGAGGACATTTGAGTAGACAAAAGAACTAAATGCTTCCTACTAAAGAGGGAAAGACAAGAAAAGGGAATGTGGATATTTCTATGATTTCCAAAGATGCAGATAGGGAAACATGTTAGCCAAATCCCTTTATCCCCACTTTGTAACTTGGAAAGCTAGGTGATTAATTTAAGGAGTTACAATTTCACTCTTAAAGATAGTGCAGGTTAAAGATACAATTTCCAAAAGATTTAGAAAAATCCCCAGAAGGCAGATGTGGGGCCTGACACATAGAAGGTGCTTAAGAAATGTTTAGCTAAATGAATGATGGTTTGCAAAGTGAGCGTTGATAGTAGGGAAGGCTGAGTATGCACAAGAGGAGTTCTACCTTCCACTCACTTTTGCTGCAAACCTAAAACTGCTCTAAAAGATAAAGCCTTAATTTTACTTTATCTGTCTGTCTGTCTGCCATCTATTCATTTATTGGTGGTACTAAGTATTGAACCCAGGGCTACTCTACTACTGAGTTACATCCTCTGCTCTTAAAAACTATTTACTTTTTAAAAATTGGATTCTCTCTAAATTGCCCAGGCTAGCTTCAAACTTGCAGTCCTCCTACCCTAGCCTCTTTTTTTTTTTGGTTCCAGGGATCGAACTTGGGTCCTTGCGCTTGTGAGGCAGGTGGCGGAACCACTGAGCTAAATCTCCGGCCCTCTAGCCTCTTTTTTAAATTTTTATTTATTTTTTGGTACCAGGGATCAAACTTGGGACCTTGCGCCTGCAAGGCAGGCTAAATCCCAGCCCTTCCCTAGCCTCTTGAGTGGCTGGGATTATAAGTGTGTACCACCATACTCAACTCTAAAGTCTATTTGGGGGGGTACCAGGGATCGAACTCAGGACCTTGCGCTTGCCAAGCAGGTGCAATGCCACTGAGCTAAATCCCCAGCTCTCTAAAGTCTATTTTTTTTTTTTTGGTACTGGGGGATTGAACTTAGGACCTTGTGCTTGCGAGGTAGGCGGTAGAACCACTGAGCTAAATCCCCAGCCCTAAAGTCTATTTTTTAAAAAAGAAAGAAAAAGGAATTTCTTCCCTGTCTTATGGCTAGGATGTATTTGAGTGTGTGTGCATTGCTAGGGATTGAATCTAGGACCCTTGCATCCTATACAAGCACTCTACCACTGAGCTACATCCCAGCCCTTTTAACTTTTTTATTTTGAGACAGAGTCTTACTAAGTTGCCCAGGCTGCTCTCAAATTTGTGATCATCTTGCCTCAGCCTCTTAAGTAGCTGGGATTACAGGTGTGTGCCTCAATGCCTGGCCTACAACACATTAGAGATGCTTGGAGCTCAGGTAGCCATCTTAGACCATAAGGTAGAAGCTATTTGTCGTGGATGGCAGAGCAACAAAATGTAAGACTTGTCCCTGGTGAGTGAGAACTTAATCTGTTAACCCTGAACTACTTATCTGTGGACTTTTATATGAAAGAGAAACAAGTATCTCTTATCTGAGCCACTGCTTCCTGAGTATTCCATCACTTGTGACCAAACAATCTCTAACTGGTACAGGCAGGCAAGTCACCTTAATCACCTGCAAAATGTTCCCCAATGCCCTTGTCAGACAAAAATCAGGAAACAGCTGCCCAGCAAGCTACCATTCCTGTCCCTACTGCTCTTAGCAGTCAAGTTCACACAGCTATTCATTCATTCTTCATTCACTAAATCTGAGTGCCTGCTAGGTGTTCACACTCTGCATAAAAAAAGACACAATCCCATCTGCTAGAAGACAGAATAGATAAAAGTCTTAAAGACATAGGGGTAGGCAAGGACTTTCTGAACAGAACTCCAATAGCATAAGAAATAGTACCAAGAATCAACAAATGGGGTTATATCAAATTTGTTTCTGGACAGCAAAGGAAACAACCAACAGTAAAAAATAAGCTACAGAATGGGAAAAAATTTTGCCAGCCATTCCTTGAACGGAGGACTGACATCTAGAATTTATAAAGAACTCAAAAAAATTAGACCCTCTCAAAATAAAAGATCCAAAATTTGGGCAACTGAAATGAATAGACAGTTCACAGAAAATGTGCAAATGACCCATAAAATGCATCTCTGGCCACTAGAGGAATGCAAATTAACCAATATCTTTTTTTTTTGGTACCGGGGATCAAACTTGGGACCTTGCGCTTGTGAGGCAGGCGCTGGAACCATTGAGCTAGATCCCCAACCCTAGAGGGATGCAAATTAAAACAACACTGAGATCCCATCTTATTCCAGAAAGAATGGCTATCATGAAGAAATCAAATGAAGGCTTTGGGCGAAAAAGAACATTTCTACATTGTTGGTGGGAATGTAAACTAATACAAACAAATCAGTATGGAAATTCCTCATAAAACTAAAACTAGAAATTCCATTTGACCTATGTTCCTTTAGGTATCTTCTTGAAAGAGTTAAAGACATTACATTACCATGATACATACATACCCATGTTTATAGCAGCACAATTCATATCAGCTAACTCTTGAAAGCTGCCTATAGTCCATCAACAGGTGAACGGATAAAGAAAATGTGGTATTTATACATAATGGAGTACTACTATGCCATAAAGAAGGAAAAACAAATCAGAAACACAAGATTAAATATTAGATGGTCTCTCTTATATGAGAAATCCAAAATATAAATGAAGAGCAAAATAAAAGATAATAGGAAACAAAGAGAGAGATCTTTTCCAAGAAAAAAGGGGACCAAAGGATGAAGGAAGGGGGGAGTAAAGGGAAGGAAAGAGGATGAAGAATGAAGATGTGTTATATCCATGTATCAATGACCCATAAGGAATGTATTCATTATATACTCCAAATATACTAATTAAAAAAAAAACCAATTTCAGCAGTGAGGAACAACAGCATCTGAGGAAAAAGAGCCACATAGACAGTGCAATGTGGGAAGCTGGGCGAGTTTCCTGGAGTCCAACAGGACAGCTTCCCC